ATCACCAGCCATTGCAGCATGAGTTTGATCCCTGGGCAGGGAGCTACCCGCATGGTGCAGCAGACCTCTCCTGTCTCATCTGCTGCTCCCCTCAGCAGTGTATTTCAGTCAGTCTGCCTGTTCTGTTCCCCACTCTGTTTCTGGTGAATCCTCTCACCACCCACCTCTCCTTGTACCTCTGTCCTACATCCCAGTTCTTGTATGCATAAATAAATAATTTTTTAAAAAAAAATCAGAAAAAAATAAAGTGGAAGTGAAATGGAGCTCTGTGGAATATAAGGAAAACACCCAAACTTATATCTCCCAAGGTCTGTCAGCCCTACTGCAGGATTGCTTGATAGGAAAGGAAATGACACGGTAAAGAAACAAAATGCCCTAGAGCAAAGGCTATTTACCTCATCCTGTTACCCTCTTCTACTTCTTCCCCCAAGAAGCAGAGTGGAAACTATTTTATGAGAACACAGATGGGAGGTAGATTTCAGAGCACTATAGTTTGTCCTCTGTCCTTCAGTCCACCAGTTTCAGGGGACAAGGGATCCATTTCTCTCTCTCTCTCTCTCTCTCTCTCTCTCTCACACACACACACACACACACACACACGCACACCCCCCCAATGCACACCAGCTAGCTTGTACTAGAGTCTGGGGCTTTCTGCCTGGCTGCAAGACAGCAGCACCCCCAACATGCTGTGCCCCGGGCCTGCTAGAGGCTCGTCCCCCACACGGGACCATGTTCCTTCAGGAAAGATGAATAAACTGTTGCTTTTTTTTTTTTTTCCTGCTTCTTTGGCCCAGTCTAAGTGGAAAGTTTAAGCTCAGTGCACTCCCACTGTTTTCTCTAGGTGTTCTCAAACTGCTCAGCAATAGACAGACACTCAATTAAATGTATGTTGAATGACTGAATGATTGCCAAGGCTCTCTGGGTTGGGGAACTTTCATAATTATCACTGTATACACTCCAATTGCCATTTATTATCTTTCGCTTCCAGTAAGCGTTGGCCCCAATGGGGGAGGAGCAATATTTTAGTCATCTTTGAATCTCTAGCAACTAGAATAGTAGAGAAGTTCCATATTATACCCTTAATACACACTTGTTTAGATAAATGATTAGCTGTATTTCTGAATGAACAACACTGATTTGTTAGAATTGTTTGGGAAAATGAGAATCCATAACTGGGGCCATGTTGAGAAGGGCCTCGTATATAAGGCTAAGGCGATCAGGCTTTGTTACTATTTTGCTATAGAGAATGACTAGATTTTTAAAGAATTAGGGAGTAATTCAGTGACGAAGGCTGTTTTTATCTGCTGGTTAGATAGATCGATGCTGTGCTGATATCTGAAATCCATCTAAGTTTGGTTGTCTCCAAACACTGACCATAGGAATTTCAATAAAGAAAGGTCTTTTTCATCTAGACATAGATGTGGCAATGTGGCTGCTTTAACCTTATTGTCTATTAATGGAAATACATTTGTCCACCTTATGTGATCTCAGATTGGTATATAGTTTTAGAAGACAATATGTCCTGGGCCTCACTGGTGGCCCAACGGGTTTAAGATGCAAATTATGAAGCTGTCCACAGCCTCTGCAGCACGAGTTCAATGCCCAGCCAGCCAGGGAGCAGCCCACATGGTGCAGCAGACCTCTCCTGACTCGCCCGCTGCTCCCCTCAGCAGTGCATTTCAGTCAGTCTGCCTGTTCTGTTCCCCACTCTGGTGAATCCTCTCTCTCACACACACACACCACACACCTCTGGCATGTTCTCCAGTTCTTGTATGCATAAATAAATAAATCTTTTTTAAAAAATAAATGTCCAGCTAAACAGGATTGACACCAAGTAAGGCCTGAAAGCCTGCCACAAGTCTAAAGCACCTTTCAGCCGGGGCCCATGGAAAAGGGTCAGAAACAGCCAGACAAGTGTGCGAGAAAAGAGAAAAATTAAAATAAAGATAAAAGCTTCCACTGTGAACCTCCCCACGGGTCTCTCACCCACATCTGTGTCACCCAGTCCAGGACCGAGTAGTAGGCGCAGGTTCTTCACGTGTCTCTCTGCTCCATGTGCCTCCTCCAGGTCTCCTTCTGCCTCTGGACCCTTCTTTCTTCCTTCCCTAGCCTCCTCTCCAGCTTCTTTTCTCTTCCTGCTCAGCTCCACCCTCCCTTGGGTGGGGCAGGGGACCTGGATCCTCCCCTTTTATTGGGGACCACCCTTTTACACTCATAAACTAAATGACTTCAATTATTTATCATTCCAGTAAAGTCACCACGAACCCCTAGAAACGTAATGGCTAATAGGAGTATCTTCAGAGTAAGAAAGAGCAATGCCAACCTTCTCATTTTTTAATTAACATCTTTCTGGAAAAGACAATTCTGCGATTCCTATGGTCCTATTAAGTACTGGGCATCAAATTGTATGATTTTATGGTCAGTCTGAGACATGAACATCAGACCCATAGAAGTAGATTGTTTTATTTCTACCACCTGAGTGGCCGGCACCGGTGGTCAACCTCTTGGGACTCCTTAGAACCAGCTGAAGTGTGTTGGGTTACAGCTGAGGATAACTCAGGTTCACCTGCTTCTGCTTTTTGTAACTCTAAAATCATCCAAACACCTCTTTGTTAACACAGATCATAAATATTTATCACTCACTCTGATATATTATATGTAGCTATAAATTTTTTAGAGCTCCTTCCATCAAGTAGCAGAATCCGTTTCCCCTGCTCTCTGCTTTGGCCTTGTGACTCACTTTGACCAAAATAAAGTAGCAGAGGTCATTTTTTGTGTGACTTCCAAGCTTCTATTTAAAGAGGCCTTGGTGGGCCTCCCTTGTGGCACAGGGGTTAAGACGCAACCTATGAAGCGATCCGCAGCCACTACAGCACGAGTTCAATTCCCGGCCAGCCAGGGAGAAACCCACATGGAGGGACAGACCTCTCCTATCTCGCCCGCTGCTCCCCTCAGCAGTGTACTTCGGTCCGTCTACCTGTTCTGTTCCTCACTCTGTCTCTGGTGAATCCTCTCCCCCACCACCACCACATCTCTGGCCTGTACCCCAATTCTTGTATTAAAAAAAAATAAATCTTTAAAAAAAATAAAAATTAAGAGGCCTTGTTGGTTCCACTCACACTCTCTGGGAACCCTATATCTTGAAACAAATAATCTTGGTTAGCCACTTTGAGGGAGCAAAGGGAGACAGAGAGAGAGACAGAGACAAAGAGATGGAGAGACAGAGAGAGAGAGAAACAGTAGGAGAGATGCAGTCATCCCACCTGAGGCCCAGGACATGTGAACCAGCCAACTCACAGCCAGCTCTACCAACTGGCTACAAATGCAGGAATTAGCCCAGCCAACACATGTGGGGTAGAGGTGAGCTGTTCCAACTGAGTCCTGCCCAAATACCAATCTGCAAAATTGTGAGAAACCAAATAATTACTGTTTTCAGCTATTAAATTTTGGGGTATATAGAATTCTAAAGATGGCCCCCGCCAAGACTGCCATTGCCTTCTTATCCAATCAAATATAGATACAGAGACTGCTGTGAAGGGAACTTTTCAAATGTAATTAAAGCCCTGGTCAGCGTACCTTGTGATATGGGTCTGAGATGATTATTTACAATGCTGAAGTGAAAACTTTTAAAGCAGTGCGTTTTATCCGGCTGACAGCAGAAGGGAATGTCGCAGATACTCAAAGAATAAGAAGGGTTTGTTGCTTAAAGGTGCGTGGGGCCATATGACAAGGAGTATTGGCTGGCACTCAGAGAAACAAAATAATCCAGGTGAAAGCTGGTATGGGGCCCAGTCACACAGCCACAAGCAGCCAGCTTCCACCAATACCTCAGGAGTGGAAAATGGATTCTTCCTGTGCTTCCAGGCAGTAGCCTCTTGATATCCAGAGCAGAGAACCCATATTTTTCACCTATTGTTACAGGGCAGGGAGAATGGCAGCCCATACCCCTCAAATCTGCCTACTCTAAATGGGTTCTGCCATCTGCCCCATCAACACAAAACATATGAGACTTTAATGGGAAGGAACGTTAACACAATTAGGAAACAATACAGGAAAGGCAAAGAATCTAGTTTCTAAATCAAGCACCCAAAGTTACCCGTCCCCTCATGGGTAAAAGTCCACCCAAGCAGGATTGGCCCAGAGCAAGGCCCCAAAGCCTGCCACAAGTCCAAAGCACCTTCCAGTGGGGACCCACAGGAAAGGATCAAAAACAACCAGACAAGGGAGGAAAAGAGCAAAATCAAAATCAAGACAATAACCCCCATTGTCACCTCCCCACAGGTCTCACCCACATCTGTGTCACCCAGTCCAGAACCAAAAGGCAAGCACAGTTTCTTCATGTGTCTCTTGGCTCCATGTGCCTCTTCCAGGTCTCCTTCTGGCTCCATCCTGCTCCTTTCCTTCCTCAGTCTCCTCTGCAGCTTCTTCTCTCCCTGCTCAGTTCCACCATCCCTTTGGTGGGGCAGGAAACCTGGAACCTCCCCTTTCCTGGGGAACCCCTGTTGAACTGGGCACAAACTGGGCACAAACAAGCCTCCATATTTGTGCTAATTTGTTATGCAGCAATGGAAAACTAATTCAAGTAGCTTATTACACAGTAGCACATGAATACATATGCTCACATTTTTACAGTGGGAAAGACTCAACATAGGGCAGGGGATTTCCATTTTCACTGCACATCAGAATCTTGTGGCAGAACTTTAAAAATGCCAGGGCCCAGACCCACTCCAGAAAGCTGCTTTAATTGATTTAACTGTTCGGGGACTAACTGCCTGACCCAGGCATTTTTATTTTTGAAAAGCTCCAGGTGATTCTAGTATCCAGCTAGAAGGAAGCTTTCCACCCCATCAGTTCCCATCATCACTCCATGGTGAGAGAACCCTCTCGAACATATTCGTAAGGTACCACTTCTAATATGTGCCTTACTTTCCTCCACCCTGAGCAATTCTCAGATGCCGGCTGAGTACCCCACAATTCAACTCAATTCTGACGCTACCTACCTGGAGACAGCTTCAGATCCCACAGGGTTAAGGCTTAAGGGCTAAGTCCTGTAAGACAGAGCTCCCCTCCACTTCAGATGCCAATTCCAAGTCCAGGTGGTCACCTGTGCTTCTGACGGCCTTGGCTGCAGATCTGAGGTTCCAAGGACTCCCTTCTTGGGTTCAATTAATTAACTAGAGCTGCCCACAGACTTCAAAGAAATAGTTTACTTACTAGATTACCAGTTTATTATAAAAGGGCATGACTCAGGAACAGCCTGGGGAAGAACTGCCCAGGGCAAGGTGTGCTGAGAGCGCAGAAGCCCCGCTGTGAGCACACTGCTTTCCCGAAAACCAGAACCTGGAATCTTTCAGAATTCAGTCCTTTTGTGTCTTCATAGAGGCTTCCTTACATAGGGGTAGTTCGATTAGATTCTTATCCATTGGTGATGAACTCAATCTCCAGCCCCTCTTCTCTCCAGAGATTGATTGTGTGTGTGTGTGTGGGGGGGGGCGCATGTGCTTGTAGTGGGGGAAGGGACTAAAGTACCTACCCCTGTTACACATTTGATTCCACTGACAACCAGACCTTATGTGCTTTCCCGTTCTTCATTAACATAATAAAAGATAGCTTTATGGCTCTTATCACAGGAAATCTAAGGGTTTTAGGGGATCTGTGGTAGGGCAAAGGTCAATACATACTTATTATGAATCACAATATCACAGTGACTCTATCAGGATGCTTTCAAGCGGGAAGAAATAATAAATATCTGATCATCAATGCGGCAACAAAAACTCTCATCTCTGCCTTAGAAAAATCCAGGTATGACAGACTTCAAAGTCATTTAGGTCAGCAGCCATCAAAAGCTTGAGGGCTTTTCCATTTCCTTGCCACTCCAGCCTGTGGGCAACCCCCCACCCGCACCCCAGTCTATCAGCAGGGGCCCGGATGGGGCTGCTGTTCCATTCACTCCCATCCAAGGGAGGGAGTTTCTCTTCATATATACTCTTTCTGTTACAGAAGGAAACTTTCCTCCGACCCTTTCCAGACTTTGACTCAGGTCCTACTGGCCATGATTGAGTTACATTTCCATGGCACCCCTGTAAGAGATACTGGCAAGGAAGTAGTTTGCATTTTTCAAACCTTGTAGTGGAAGGTGCACTCTCTTTGCCAGGAAGTAGCAGAGGGTGGTGGCTGGAAGGTTCCTGGGTGGACTGCTGAGGCATAGAGCAAGAGAGAACCCTTAGCATCAGAAAAGAATAGGAAAAGCCTTGGAGGAATAAGGAAGGCTCCAGAGATAAGGGCAACAAATTCCAAAGGGGACTAATCAAACACCCCAGGACTAGGAGCAACAGGACATTCCTGGACAAGGACGGTAAAGAAAAAAGATAAGGGCCGGGACACAGAAACTTAGTTCTGGGCACAGACCATTTAGGCAGTGAGTGAGACCACCAATAACTAACCAATCACAGACTGGTGGAGCTTTAGAATAATCAGGGAAAGGGGCCTCCCTGGTGTTATAAGGGGTTAAGATGCAACCTATGAAGCTATCACCAGCCTCTACAGCACGAGTTTGATCCCTGGCCAGGGAGCAACCCACTTGGCGCAACAGACCTCTCCTGACTCACCCGCTGCTCCCCTCAGCAGTGTATTTCAGCCAGTCTGCCTGTTCTGTTCCCCACTCTATCTCTAGTGAATCCTCTTACCCCCCCCAACACCTCTGGCCTGCACCCCAGTTCCTGTATACACAAATAAAATCTTAAAAAAATAATTAAAAAAAAAAGAATAATCAGGGAAAGATGGTCTATATTCCCTGAGGCACGACTCAACCTCAGCTTCCTTGCCCCTCCCTAGCCTGGCTCAACCGACCTGGAAGACCCACTTTATTTGTTTCTTTTCTCCTTAATAAACAAATTTTTTCTTTCTCTAAACAAATCTGCCTTTTCACTTGCTTGCCTGAGTATCGGCAAAGTTCCTGCTGTGGTTCATGAGACACCAAGTAGTCATGGTCTAGTGGCTAGGACTCAGCGCTGCCCCTGCAGCCTGGGATCTATTCCTGGCTGGGAGATTAGGCCTGAAATTAAGGTATCACTACTAGTTTGTCAGTTCTTTCATGCAGCTTCTCACGCTCATACAAAGACTCATGTGCATGTATGTATATGTAGACAGGACACATGAATGAGGTGGTACCTTCACTGGGGTCATTTTTCTTCTCATTAGCCTTCTTGCTATTATCACAGTTTTGACTCGCTGCACTTTCCCTCAGTAACAAATGTTCACATTTGCTGTTCAGTCACTATCTCAATGCTTATAAATCATTAAAAAGCACATATATTTTTGAGGTGGAGGGGGCTGTCATTGTCTATTTACCTAAATAAAATCATGTAGCATATAATGACTGTTTTTTTTTCAAGTCAACTCATACAAACACTTAGGTATATTCTCACTAATCTTTAAATATCATCCAGGGCCTCCCTGGTGGTGCAGAGAGTTGAGCGCAGTGCTGTGAAGCTATCCGCTGTCTCTGCAGTGTGGGTTCGATCCCGGCCGGCGCAAGAATCCCACATTGCGCAGCAGACCTCTCCTTACTCACCGCCTGCTGCTCCCCTCAGCAGTGTATTTCTGTCATCTGCCTGTTCTGCTCCCCATTCTGTCTCTCTGGAGAATCCTCTCACCCTCCTGTGCCTAGGGCCTGTACCCCAGCTCGTGTATAAAAATAAATAAATCTTTAAAAAAAAATCCATTTGCCCAACTTTTTTCGATTTCCCGCCCCTCTCAACTCTTCTACTTTCTTCAATGTTTGTCAAAGGGGCTGATTAGGACCAAGTATAGAGCCCCTTAATTCATCCATTTCATACTTTTTGTTAGGATGTCAGGGTAACTTTGTTATGAAGCAAAATGTTCTCTTACTAGTCCTCCACACTGTCAGCTAGTTGTGCACACTTCCAGAAGTTTTCTGTGTCTCCTGATACTCTCATATAGCTTTCAGCCTCCTCCATTCTCTACTTCCTCATTGAAAGCTGGTAATTAACTCTGTCCCTCCTGAGCTTTTGGAAGCTGTTTTCTCTCCTAGGAGAATGTAAGACCTTAGGAAGATGTTTTGCATTTCTAAGCACACCACATTCCCCCCTGACTTTTGCTCTCTAAATAGTAGATGTTTTCTATTGTGGCTGGAGAGGAATTCATTCTCCCCAGACCCCCTTCTTTCTTTTTTCATGTTTATTTCAACACCATAGGGACTTTCTTCATGGAACTCTAAAATTCAACCAGTCTGCCAAAGATTTTTTTGTTCCATTGTTGTTTTTAGGAACTATGGCTTTTTGTTATTTTTTAATCAGATGTGAACAAAACTAAACAGTTGTTTGACAAAATTATATAGCGATTATCTTATAGATTTCTGTCAAACATAAATTACCTGAATCCTTTGTATTTTCTGTAAACTACTCCCTAAATATATTGATATCTGAGTACAGGAGAGAAGAAGCAAAAGCTAAGATTACTAGAAAAAACATCAGACCATTCAAAAAGGATCACAACAAAATCATAAATCTTGGCCACTTTCTTTTTTTTTTTTTTTTTTTTTTTTTTTAATAGAGGCATGCTTATTTATTTATTTGTTTGCTTGTTTGTTTGTTTGTTTGTTTATACATGCACTGGGTACAGTCAGAAGCGCGGGAGGGTGAGAGAATTCACCAGAGCGGGGAGCAGAGCAGGCAGAAGGACCGAAGTACACTGCTGAGGGGAGCAGCGGGCGGCAGGAGAGGTCTGCGCGCCATGTGGGACCCTCCTCCAGTGGCCGGGGAGCAGCCAGGGATCGAACCGGCGCCACAGAGGCTGCGTGCAGCTTCGCAACCCAGCGCTCAACCACTGCGCCACCGGGGAGGCCCTTGGCCACTTTCAATTCAGGTCCAGGGCCATTGCTTAGTCAGACAGGGCCTGATCACATTCAAATCAAATGGGAATAAGATCTACAACATCAGGGTTCTCAAAAAGTTGTGAACAATGTTTTTTCAATGTGTCCATGTCACCATTTTTAGGTACTGGAGCTTTAGAAGTTAAGATTATTAAATGAGGGATCATTTTTATATATAAGATAAGAAAAGCACTTTTTTCTTCCAAATGTATTTCTCGGTTGACCAATGAAAACTAAGAGACATGATCTGGCTATGATTAAAACGTTTCAGCCTTGGGGGTAACTGTGTATTGTGGCTTCTCTCTTTTACATCTTCGACTCGTTTTTCTGAGGACAAGAACTTCCTAATGAATTGTCTTGGTTATTGACATTTCTGTAAGTTAGAACAGTGAAAAAAATATGATGACATGCAGGTCAGTCTCTAAATGCCAACTTAGAAGTTGAATTCCATTTTGGCTGACTACACTGTTTAAGATTATCCCCAGAGGTCTTTTATCTCTTTCCCATGGTCCACATATACAATAGTGAGGCGGGGCAAAGACAATTCTTCAAAGGGAAAACTTATTAAATCGAGAAAATTCGCTTTTTAAAAAGTGGGGGGAGGGGAGGAACCTCAGGGAATTTTAGAAAGGGGTGTGGCTTTCCTGACAGCTTTAACTGGTGAGCTGTCATGCGGAGAGGATTCTGCTCTAGCAATTATTTCCGATTTTCACAAGTTGTCATTACCATAACAATCTTGTTGTCCTCCAAGCTACCAGCTCTCTAGTCTTCTGCTTCCTTGCTTTCTGTTATTCTGGAATCCCAGAAGAGAAAACAAAGGTGAAAATGGGACTTTACAGCTTTCTGTGTCCTTGCTCTTGAGTCCCTATAGGGCCAAGACTAAAGAGGCTCCAGCTCTGGATCCCTGCCATGATCTCGAACCTTCTAAGCCGCTGACCAGCCTTCTTTGGGGGATTCATAGTTCCAGCCCTTTGAGGTCTCTCTCTCTCTCTTTTTCTAAAGATTTATTTATTTATGCATACAAGAGCTGAGATGCAGGGGGTGAGAGGATTCACCAGAGACAGAGTGAGGAACAGAACAGGCAGACTGACTTATATACACTGCTGAGGGGAGCAGCGGGCGAGACAGGAGAGGTCTGCTGTGCCATGTGGGTCACCTCCCTGGTGGGGGATTGAACTTGGCTGAGCTATAACAAACTCACACTACAGTGGCTGCAGATAACTTCATAGTGCTGAGACTTAACCCTTGCGCCACCAGGGGGGGGGCGCCTCTCTTGTCTGCTTTTTGCTATTTTCTCAATTCTACTGTTGCACCAGTTCAGTCCTAGCATTTTCTCTAGCTAAAAAAGTACAATGATAGACACTTTGGAAGCCAAAGGACGAATCAAACCTCCCAGGAGTTTATTTTACATTCTGAATATCCTCAAGTTGCCACAGGTGCTGTTTCCAGGATATTTTTTCCTTTGTAAAAGAAACCGACAATCAAACTTAAAAAGATTTTTTCCAAGATA